GCTAAGCATCATTCTGATGAATGTGCATTGCATCTTGGTCCATGCCAGCGTGCCTTAATCACTTGCAAAACACAGGTCATAAATTCCCAAACATGATGCTACCCATGTGCAAATGTGTTCTACATGTTTACTATTTGCAGCAATGGCTCAAATCTCTGCCCATGGTGCTTTCAATGATGCACACATCCATGCATCATACTCCACGAGCAGCCATTTTCTCGCCAAACCCAATCTCTTCTCATCACTGCATGTCCTTTTCTGCCAATCCTCCAGGACCCACCCCCTGATGTCTCTGATCCTCGCATGCACTACATTGGCCTTGTCCCTCATTCCACTAAATTGGCCGGCCATCCTGCCAGGAAAACATGCAAAATCCATCAACATTCACATGCATGCATCAACAGCAACCCATGTCCTCCCATCCAAATGCATCAAATAGTCATTGGTGTAATACAAGGCCATGTTCAACTTCCTCAATCTCCCATGCAGCACATAGGCTGATGTGCATATGGCAATGGCCAAATCCAGTGCCAGCATGGGCCAGATCATGCCCTCAGACAATGCATTAACTCATCTCTCTCTCCAATGCATGCATGCACTGCTTGTTCACTGATGCATCCAAGTCACTTCATTGGTCATCATCACCTGCAAGCTGATAGCCCACATGACCACCACCATGGCCATCAAATGAATGGGCTCAATTCTCACCATGGCTTCAGATGCACAAAATGCTACCAATGCTTGATGCCAAAAATGCTGCAAAGTGCTGCCATACTCACATTCCAAGCTTGCCCATCAGTGCCTGCACATGCAACTGCATGGTCCATTGGCCTTGCTCATGCCCCCAGCACATTTTCATTCTTTTGCTCATGATGCTCAGCTAATTAATCATCATCCATAGACGCTGCATGCCAGTATGGCTCTAATGATATGTCCAGTTCATTCATGAAGCCAATGACTTCATCCCTCCTCTCACTCACCATCAAGGGTTTGATGGCCAGGAACTCATGCCTGATCCAATCCTTCCATCCTTAGTTCACATTGGCAGAAGCATGCTTTCATGGCAAGGAACTCACATGGTTTGCTCTCATGGGCACATGATTGATTAACTAACCAATTACCAGGTAACTGTGGGGGTTCTCATCATGCATCATGCCAGTGAACTCATCAGTGCCACCTGTATATGGCCAAAATATGCCATCTGCCATGCATGTTTTCATGTTTGCCAGCATCTCCATACAGAGCTCAGCATTGCTGGCAGAGGCATCATTGTATTGATCCTTCATGTCACCTTGTCAGCATGGCATGGTGTTTCAACTGCCTCACAAATGGGCTCATGGAATCATGCATGCATGGTTGCCAGGGCACTGAAATCCTCAGCCAGCACCATCCTGATATAAATGCATCCAATCCTCACCCACACAATGGAGCCTCAGTTGCCATGCAGTGATGCAACTCATCCCCCCTTCCCCACCCCCTTCCCATGCTCATGTGCAGCCACACTACATATCTCATACCAATAATCCTCAATGCCAGTTCCAAGAATCCCATCCCTCTCCTCCAACATCCAGCATGCCATCTGGGTGGCCCTTTTCCTGATGGTTGTAGTCCTCTTGGCCCAATCTCAGCTGTTGTCATGCACTCATGCCCCACCCCCCCAAGCACCACAGGCATCCCCCCCATGCACAAATCCAAGCCACTCTCCAATATCCACCCTCTCATTCTGATGATTCTCCTGCTGATAGACCAGCATCTAAATCCAATGCCACCATGGGCCTGATCAGTCCTGCAATGCACCCATGCACCCAATGCACCCCCATGCTTCAGTGTCCTCCTTCTCAGGGCTGATAGGATTGCATTGTTTTCATGCATAGCCACCTGGAATTCTTGCATCATCATCAATCCCAAATATACCAAATAGCAGCAGACAGGCATAGTTGCCATCAGGGCATACAGGATGGCATGGTGGATCATCTCCTGAAGCTCATGTGGACTACTCTTCATGGTGGTTTCATTGGAATGCAACACTCTCACATGTATTTCCTCTTCTCTTCAGTCATGGCACTGGTTGCATACTCATCATGACAGCCAGAACCATCACAGCAATTGCACCCAATCCCATCAGCATGGTACTACTCATGGCTGGATTCTTGATATGCCAGTGCCAACAGCTGCATGGTAATTCATCGAAATTCATGGAACCTCATGGAAACCCACTGTAAACTCATGGAAACTCATGGGGGCTAATGGAAATTTCATGAAAATCTACCTCCCACAGTCTCATGGAAAGCAATATGGGAGCCTCAGAAGCCTCACCACTGCCACATGCACTGATGCACTGCCCATCACTTTCTCCTATAGCATCATGTTAAAACATGTCTGTCTCAATGAAGACAGTCTCATTGTGGCCAATCATCATCTCACTGCCCTCATCTGCAAAAGCAATGAGCCAGCCCATCATGGTCCATGTATCTGAATATCCACCATTGGCCAGAGAGCAGAACTGACATGTGATGCCACCCAATGGCAATGCCCACCATGTATCAGCTCTGGATAGGCCAACAAACCTGCCAATGATATTAATGACCTCAGCTTGTAATGGCCTCTCCATCCTCCCAATATGGACCAATCCTGTGTACATGTTGGCCCAATATGCAGAGTCATGCCCAACTGATGCCAGGTCCTCATCTGATTCCAGCCCCTCATTGTGAGCTGATAGAGCTGATACTGACAATTCCTCCCATGAGCCTAGGCCTGATGAGCTTGATGTTCCAGATGCCATTGCTGGACCATGCCTGCCTAATCAGCCAGATTCGAGCCTAATATCACTCAATCTCAATGGAAACCTCATCAAATTTCATGGAATCCCATTGGGGTGGCATGCAAACCTGATGGAAAAGTGACTCAATCTCAATGGAAACCTCATCAAATTTCATGGAATCCCATTGGGGTGGCCATGCAAACCTGATGGAAAAGTGACTCAATCTCAATGGGAACCTCATCAAATTTCATGGAATCCCATTGGGGTGGCCATGCAAACCTGATGGAAAAGTGACTCAATCTCAATGGAAACCTCATCAAATTTCATGGAATCCCATTGGGGGGGCCATGCAAACTCAATTCCAGATCTCAAAAGGAAGCCCCAGCAATACTAAATCAAATGGAAACTCAATTCCAGATCTCAAAAGGAAGCCCCAGCAATACTAAATCAAATGGAAACTCAATTCCAGATCTCAAAAGGAAGCCCCAGCAATACTAAATCAAATGGAAACTCAATTCCAGATCTCAAAAGGAAGCCCCAGCAATACTAAATCAAATGGAAACTCAATTCCAGATCTCAAAGGGAAGCCCCAGCAATACTAAATCAAATGGAAACTCAATTCCAGATCTCAAAAGGGAGCCCC